AATTTGGCCTTTGACACTTGTACATGCTTAACAAAGTTCTCGTGTTGCGTTTTTCAGCTCCATCAATTCACTTATATTCCTTTCTATTTTGTCCATCCTCGTTAGCATTTTGTCAAATCTTTTTTCAACGTTCTTAGTTTCTTTGCATTGGGTTAGAACATGTTTTTTTAGTTCACAGTAGTTTCTTACTACCCACCTTCTGAAGTCTGGTTCTGTGATTTCATCACACTCGTTCTCCCTCCAACCTTGTTCCCTTGCTGGTGAGGAGTTGTGATCCCTTGTAGGAGGAGAGGTGTTCTGGTTTCGGGTGTTTTCATCCTTTTTTTGCTGGTTTCTTCCCATCTTTATGGATCTGTCTACCTGTCATCTTTGTAGTTGCTTGCTTTCAGATTGGGTCTCTGAGTGGACGTTCTGTTTGTTGATGATGAGGTTATTTCTGTTTCTTAATTTTCCTTCTGACGGTCTGGCCCCTCTGCTTACATCTGCTGAGGTCTATTCCAGGCCCTGCTTGCCTGGGGATCACCTGCAGCAGCTGCAGAACAGTAAGGGTTGTTACCAATTTCTTCTTCTGCTATCTTTGTCCCAGGAGGATACCCGCCAAGTGTCAGTCTGATCTCTTCTGTATTAGGTGGCTCTTTGGATATACAGAGGTCAGGGAGCTGCTTGAGGAGACAGTCTGTTCTTTATAGGAGCTCAAATGCTGAGCTATGAGCTCCGTTGTTCATTCAGAGCTGCTGGGCAGGTACATTTAGGTCTGCTGCAGCAGAACTCATAAACCGCTTTTTGTTCCCAGGTGCTCTGTCCCAGGGTTAGGGCTTTATTTATGAGTTTCCATTATGCTGCTGCCTTCTTTTTTTTCCTTCAGAGCTGCCCTGCCCAGCAAGGGGGCAGCCTCATCACTGTCTGCCTGTAGAGGCTTTGCTGAGCTGCTGTGGGGTCCGCCCAGCTGCCCAGTCAACTTCCCTGCATTCCTGTTTATATGGGTGTAGTCAGAACTGCCTCAGCAATGGTGGCCCGCCTCCATTAAGGCGGAGTCTCTCTGTAGTGGCGGGTTGCCTTGGCAATGGCGGGCTTCCTCAGCAATGGTGGGTTGCCTTGGCAACGGCAGGCTGCCTCAGCATTGGCTCACTACCTTCGTAGTTTTGGAGTGCCTCGGTAATGGCAGACGCCCCTCCCCCACAGAGCTGGACCGTTCTGGGTTCAGCTGTGCTTGCTCTGAAACTCTCAATACAGAGAGTTTCTGATTGCTGTTCTTTTGTGGGTGTGCGACCAGCCGAGCCTGATCACCTGGCTCCCTGCCTCAGAGTCTTTTTATTTTTTAAGTTGGTGTTCCAGTCGCCTGTTGAAGAGGCACCGTGATCTGTATGTTTTCCCACATGGCGACTCACTGCGCTGGCTTAAACAGCGGCACTGAGATTCGTGGCGCTTTTTTTGCCGTGGAACGTACTGTCCTGTTTCCCTGTTCAGTCCCGTTTTTAAACAGATGAATGGGCGACTTCCTGAGGCTCCAATCGCGAGCCAAAAGGGCACCCGGGCCAGTGTATTTTGTATGGAAACCACTGCACCAGGGTGCTGACAAAGCAGCCGCCTGGGGCAAAGCAGTGGCGCTGGCCGACTCAGCCACGCTGGCCGAAACAGTCGTGCTGGTTACCCGTGGAGCTCCTCTGCCTGGGAATTTCCTAGTCTGTGGGCAATAAAAATGCAGCATCCACTCGCCCTCTGCGCTTTCACTGGGAGCTGCAATCCTGAGCTGTTCCTAAGCGGCCATCTTGGATCGACTCTCCTAGAGTAGTATACTTTCATTTCCTCTCTCCTAGCCAGATTCATGAGATTATAGTTTTCATTAAGCTTAGAAAGTTTCTGGCCATTTTATCTTTATGTTTTGTCTTTCTACCTTTCTCTTTGGGGATTTATATATTATTGCTTAAAGTTTTCTCATAGTTCTCTGATATCTCAAATTTTTGAATCTTCTTTGTGATATCTAGTCTATATTTACTTCCACTCAGCATTGTTTTCAGTCCTGACTTTTTTTTTGAGACCAGTTTCACTCTGTTGCCCAGGTTGGAGTGCAGTAGATCCATCACCACTCACTCCAACTTCTGCCTCCCGGGTTCAAGCAATGCTCCTGTCTCAGCCTCCTGAGAAGCTGGGGTTACAGGTGTCTACCATGATGCCCAGCTAATTTCTTTGTATTTTTATTAGAGAGGGGGTTTCATCGTGTTGGTCAGGCTGGTCTTGGACTCCTGACCTCAAGTGATTTGCCTGCCTCAGCCTTCCAAAGTGCTGGGATTACAGGTAAGAGCTACCATAACTGACCTAGTCCTAACATTTTAATTTGAATTCCTACTAGTGCAGTTTGCTTTCAAAAAATACCTTCCATGCCTCTACTTGAAATTTATTTGTGGACACAGTTGACTTGCTTATAAACAACCTGATTTTTCTGATCTTGCATTATGATTTGGTCTAACTTTCCACTCCTGAGGTAAAGTGTTTCTGATAACATTATTCTTTGCTTTGTGAAATTTTTCTGGTGTCAGTTATAGGAATGGACACTCTTCCTGGTATATTGTGAGCAACAGGCACTATTTCTTCTAATTTTTTAGGAAATATTCCCCTGGTCTCAAGTAGTTTCCTAGCACACATGTAGTGTTCATTACTCTGTTAGATAAATACCCAAGGGGATATTTTTGCAGATCTCCATTGTTCTTTTCCTGTACTGTTGTCATCTTTCCAGTGTTCTGTTTTGTGATTTCTGTCTACCTTGGTTTTTTGAGACTCTCAGCTTCATTGTGCCAAGTCAAGGAATCTGGTGGACTCTACCTCAGCTTTTTTTTCTCCTGGTATCATGGCCTGGAAACTTTGTCAAGTTAGGGAGCTGGGGTGTTTGTAAGGCTTACTTCATTTGTTTCCTGTCTTACAGGGATCATTGTCTTCATTACCTAAAGTCCATGTTCTTGAAAATCATTGTAGTATGTATTTTGTCTGTTTTGTCTTTGTTTCAGACAAGAAGGTAAATCAGTATCTGCTGCTCCATTGTGGCCAGAAGCAGAACTGCAGCAGAGCTTCAGCACATTCCGTAGACTTGCTGGAATGTTTTTCTGCATCTTTTACTTACCTGCTTCCTTCTCGTCGTTCATTACTCAGCGTAGCCATCTCTTTTCCAGGGAAATCTTCCTGAGCCCAGTATATATCAAATTCTGTGTGACAGTAGAACTGTTTTCTTGCAGCATCTATGTGAATTTGTAATTTCACTTTTATTGCCCTTGTTCTTCAGTACACTTAAAACTAAACAAGAGCAGAGCTATTGTTTTATCTGCAGAGCTCAGTATAATGTCTTCCACATGGTAGGAAATCAGTGCACATTTGTTTGGTGTATGGATGGGTGAATGTTAAAATGCACAGGACTTTATATCCAAAAAGTACTCATATGTTTTATTTCTACCTTGTTTTCACCAATGCAGATTTTGCTAGCCTGTCAAAAATCCAGGATGCAGTTCTTTCCGATGAACACTTACTAGAACTTCAAAATAACCACTGGGAACAACTTACAGTAGAAATTGAACAAATGGAAAATATGATTGATGTACTAGAGAAGGAGCTATCTGAAGCAAAGGAAACAAAATTACAGTTACAGCATCAAAAAGGTGAATTTGAGCAAGAACTCTCCACTTTGAGGTATGATACAGTATTCTAGTTTAAAAAAATATTTTAACTTTTTATTTTACACCAAAGATAAAAGTGAGAATTGTTCTGATTGCTGACTTTCTGGGGCTTAACGGGAGAAAATGTCTTGGTCTTGTGGAGTATGAAAATCTTGGAAATAATATAACAAATTCTTCATTATGACTCTTATAATAATTGCATATTCTTTTATTTTATGATTTTAATGGGTATATAGAAGTCCGCCATACAGAAATCTCATAATTTAACAAATTGAATGTGGAGTTTTAAATTCTTTTGTGTTAGAATTAATGCTGCAAGGAACATCTTTTATTATTGTTATCATTATTACCATTATCATTATTAGACACTATTATTAGACGTTATTATTAGACAGGGTTTTGCTCTGTCACTGAGGCTAGAGTGCAGTGGTGCAATCATAGCTCACTACAGCTTTGAACTTTTGGGCTCAAGGGATCATCTCGCCTCAGTTTTTTAAGTAGCTAGAAGTATAGGTACACACTGGCATGCCTGGCTAACTTTTTAAACTTCATCAAGACAAGGTCTCACTATGTTGCCCAGGATGATCTCCAACTCCTGACCTCCAACAATTGTCCTGCCTGAGCCTTCCAAAGCATTGGGATTAAAGGCATGAGCCATTACACCCAGCCCAGAACATCTTTTCTATAAATTATTTTCTACATTTTGAATTATTACTTTAAATAAAGTTTTCAATATATAATTTTTTTATTTAAAATATGGAAACTTTTTAAAAAAGGCCTTGGATCAATATTTCTAAATTGTCCTCAGGAATATTTGTATTTAACACATGCTGGGGTTAATACCTAGGTGATGGATTGATAGATGCAGCAAAGCACCATAGCGCACGTTTACCTATGAAACAAACCTGCACATTCTGCACATGTACTCCAGAAATTAAAAATTAAAATTAAAAAATAATATTTGTATTAATTTACAGTTCAACCAACAGAGCATGAAATGGCCATTTGTCTCAAATCAGAATACTTTAAAAAAACTTTATACAATTTTTTTCTTTTTACTCTGTGTTTAAATTTATTTATTTTTATTTCAGCAGCTTTAGGGGTACAAGTTACATGGATGAATTGTATAGTGGTGAAATCTGGATGTTTGCGTGGATGAATTGTATAGTGGTGAAGCCTGGGATTTTAGTGTACCCATCACCCAATAGGTAGTTTTTATTGCTCATCTTTCTTCTATTCTTCCTTCTTCTGAGTTTCTGATGTCATTACACCACTCTGTTTGCCTTTACATTCCCATATCACAGCTCCCACTTGTAAAAGAGAGCATGTGGTATTTGTTGTTTCATTCCAGGGTTACTTTACTTAGAATAACGGCCTCTAACTATCCAGGTATCTGCAAAAAACATTATATTCTTCTTCTTTATGGCTGAGTAATATTCTGTGGTATGGGTGTGTATACACACACACACACACACATACATATATGTATAGGTATCACATTTTCTTTATTCTAGACACCAGTTGATGGATACTGTTTGATTCCATATCTTTGCATATTGTGAATTGTGCTGCAGTAAACATATGTATGCAGGTGTTTTTTTGATATAATAATTTATTTTATTTTGGGTAGATAACCAGAAATGAGAATGCTGGATAGAATGGTAGGATGTACCTTTATTAGTTCTTTGAGAAATCTCTGTACTCTTTTCCATAGATTTTGTACTAATTTGGATTCCTACCAGCAGTGTATAACTGTTCTGTTTTTGCCACAGCCACACCAATATCTATTGTTTTTTGATTTTTAATAATGGCCAGTTTGGCTACAATGAGGTGATGTCTCATTGTTGTTTCATTTTACATTTCCCTCATAAGTGATGTTTAGCATGTTTTTAAATGCTTGTTCACCATTTGTACATCTTCTTTTGAGAAATGTCTATTCATGTCATGTGCCCACTTTCTAATGGAATTATTTGTGTTTTTCCTGCTGATTGGTTTGAGTTTCTTGTAGATTATGGATATTAGTCCTCTGTTAGATTCATAGTTTGCAAATATTTTTTCTCATTCCATAGGTTGTTGGTTTACTCTGATGATCATTTCTTTTGCTGTGCTGAAGCTTTTCAGTTTAATTAGGTCTTACTTATTTACTTTCATTTTGTTGCATTTGCTTTTAGGGTCTTCCCCATAAATTATTTGACTAGGCCAGTGTTTTCAGGTCTTAGGTTTAGGCCTTTAATCTGTCTTGAATTGATTTTTGTATATGGTTAGAGATAGAGATCCAGTTTCATTCATTTACATGTGGCTATCTTTTTTTTTCAGCACCATTTATTGAATAACATGTACTTTCTCTAGCATATTTTTGTGTGTCCTTTCTCTCTTTTTCTTTTAATTGCATTTTAGGTTTTGGGGTACATGTGAAGAACATGCAAGATTGTTGCATAGGTACACACATGGCAGTGTGATTTGCTGCCTTCCTCCCCTTCACCTATATCTGGCATTTCTCCCCATGCTATCTCTCCCCAACTCCCCACCCCCAATGTCCCTCCCCCATTTCCCCCAAACAGACCCCAGTGTGGACCTAGAAATAGAAATTCCATTTGACCCAGCAATCCCATTACTGGGTATATATCCAAAGGATTATAAATCGTTCTAGTATAAGGACATATGCACACGCATATTCATTGCAGCACTGTTTACAATAGCAAACACCTGGAACCAACCCAAATGCCCATAGATGGTAGACTGGATAGGGAAAAAGTGGCACATATACACCATGGAATACTATGCAGCCATCAAAAACGATGAGTTCATGTCCTTTGTAGGGACATGGATGAACCTGGAAACCATCATTCTCAGCAAACTGGCAGAAGAGCAGAAAATCAAACACCACATGTTCTCACTCATAGGCGGGTGTTGAACAATGTGTATCCTTTCTCAAAGACCATTTGCTTGTAAGTGGCTTTATTTCTGACTTGAGTATTCTATTCCATTGATCTGTGTACTATTATTATACCAGTATCATGCCGTTTTTGTTACTGTAGACTTAGAGTATGATTTGAAGTCGAGTAATGTGATGCCAACATATTTGTTCCTCTTGCTTGGTATGTCTGTTGTTATTCAGGCTCTTTCGTGGCTCTACATAAATGTCAGCATTTTAAAATGATTCTATGAAGAATGACCTTGGTATTTTGTTAGGAATTGTATGGAATCTGTAGACTGCTTTGGGCACTCTAGTCATTTTTAAAATATCCGTTCTTTCAGTCCATCAACAGGGGATGTATTTTCATTTGTGTCATCTATTATTTCTTCAGTGGTGTTTTCCAGTTATCCTTATATAGGTCACTCACCTCCCTCATTAAGTATATTCCTAGGCATTTTACACTTTTGCAGCCATTGTAAAAGGGATTGGGTTCTTGAAATGACTCTCAGCTTTGTTGTAGTTGGTGTATAGTGGTGATACTGATTGATATTCATTTATTTTGTAACTTCTGAGACTTTACTGAATTCATTTATCAAACCTAGAGGTGTTGGCCAGGCATGATGGCTCACGCCTGTAATCCCAGAACTTTGGGAGGCTGAGGCAGGTGGATCACCTGATGTCAGGAGTTGAAGACCATCCTGACCAACATGGAGAAACCCCGTCTCTACTAAAAATACAAAATTAGTTGTGTGTGGTGGTGAGTGCCTGTAATTCCAGCTACTAGTGAGGCTGAGGCAGGAGAATTGCTTGAATCCAGGAGGTGGAGGTTGCAGTGAGCCGAGATCACACCATTGCAATCTAGGCTGGGCAACAACAGGGAAACTCCATCTAAAAAAATATATCTAGGAGTGTTTAGTAGGAATTTTTATGGTTTTCTAGGTATTAGACAATATCATTGGGGAAGAGATAGTTTCACTTCCTCTTTTCCAGTTTGGGTGCTTTTTATTTCTCTTGCCCAGTTGCTTTGCCTAGGAATTCCCAGTTTTATTCTTAGTATTCATTAAATAAAAAGTAAAATGGGAAGTGATTAATGATNCATACCAGTTAACATTAATTGTGTTCTACATTAAAATACATGTTGTTCTTCATTGTTTAAATATTAGAGCATGTCTTGTTCCAAAAGGAATTTCTGAGTTGTTCATAAAGTAGATAGGTATCAAGAATGTAAGTGGAAACTGTTTCCAGAAAATAAATATAAATAGTATGGGTTAACACAGGGCCTCTCAATCCCCAGGCCATGGACCAGTACCAATCCCTGGCCTGTTAGGAACTGGACCACACAGCAGGAGGTCAGTGGCAGGTGAGAAATAAAGGCTTGTTAGTGTTTACAGCCACTTCTCTTCCCTTGCATTATTGCCTGAGCTCTTCCTCCTGTCAGATCAGTGGTGGCATTAGATTGCCCTAGGAGTGTAACTTTACCCTGCTGTAAGCTGCTCATGCAGGGGATCTAGGTTGTGCACTCCTTATGAGAATCTAATGCCTGATGATCTGTCACTGTCTCCCATCAACCCCAGGTGGGACCATGTAGTTGCAGGAAAACAAGTTCATGGCTCCCACTGATTCTACATTATGGTGAGTTATATAATTATTTCATTGTATATTATAATTAATAATAATAGAAGTAAAGTACACAATAAATGCAGTGTTCTTGAATCATTTTGGAAACATCCCTCTACCTCAGATCCATGGAAAAATTATCCTCCACAGAACCAATGCCTGGTGCCAACATGGTTGGGGACAGCTGGGTTAACAGATGTGAGACCCTTTTGCTTTGTCTTGGATTAATCTGCAGATATACATTGTGTTAAAGACATCTGATGGTGACATCTTGCCCTGTAAATCATTTTAGGGATACTTGCAGTATTTCATGAAAATTAAAATTTCTTCTAGTGAATTTATAAACTTGTTTATTTGTAAATAGTGTGTTCTTTTTAATTAGTTAATTTGAAATGATCTGTCCTAATTGAGAAGTTCCTATGACTGTGTGAAAAAGAGGTAATTTTCAACTTGTAACTTTACTGAATAATTTCTAATATCCTTTTCCATAACGTTTATCGGAGTTACTAATAACAAAAACTCACCAATTAGCAAGATTGGTGAGTTTTTTTTTCCTCTTTACGTTTCAAGTATTTATCCCTTGGGAGAGAGTGAAGGAATAAATTAAAAGCATGAAAACTAGAAAGAAAAAAATAGTCAAAAACACAGAAATTTTATTTGAATAATAAACCTATACAGGAAGAGCTAGATCACAAAATAAACTTTTTTATTTTCTAACAAAACAACTTTTAATATAACTGTATTTAACTGTAGATTGACCTTAAAACAAGAAGAAGAGAAGAAAAGGAATGCAGATATGTTGTACAAAAAAGGTAGAGAGGAGTTAAAAAGCAAACAAGAGGAATATGAAAAAGAAGTTGAAATGAACCGACAACACAGACAGACTCTGCAAACACAAGCCATGGAATTGAGGACAATAAGAAAGAATTCAGATCAGGTAAATTAATTTCTGATAAAAACTTTATATTTTCAATTTTATATTTCATCAATATTACTTATAATGTTCCTTTGATTTAATGTGGTATGTTATTTAGATGTAAAACACACCAGAAGTGTTATCTAATTTTTAAAATGTGCTATGACATTTATAGTTACAGTATTTGTAAACCTTGGCATTTCAGTCTGTGATGCTCAGTCTGTGTTTTCAGAGTGAAGAAATGGAAAATAAGTTGAGTAACTATCACTGACATACATGCTCATTTATGGATTTTGATGTTAAAATACAGGCTAAACAGCTTTGAAACTGTAATGAAATGTGTTAAATATTTTGACAGAAATTTTATTATGCAATACTGTATCTTTCTGTAGGTAAGAACTGTTTCTCCTCTTAGAGAAATTTGACTGTAATGTATGCAATTAAAATTTGAATGATTCTTGAGGGTTAAAAGTTTTTGTTTTTTAAGAGGCTACTTTCTTTTAACAGTTTTATAAAAGAGGTTCTGCTCTTTTAGACTTTCTTTTTCAGTCCTATTAAACCAAAAATGTACTGTATCTCTAGGTTGTGCAGGAACAAAATGATAACCAGAAGCAACTTTCTGAAGAACAGAATGGTAGAATATTACTAGCTGAGATTCTGACTGATAATCAAAAGCAGATAGAAGTGGCTGAAAAGAAAATTAATTCTGAGATATTTTCTTTAGTCATTTTCAAATATTTTTATATGTGTATATTTGAAACCCCAGCTCTATGTATTTTGGAAAGTATAAAGGATTTTTAAATCATACATATATATGTATATATCCTTTATCATGTATCTATATATGTATATATAGGATAAAGCCATGTTCTTAATTCAACTCCATTCACCTGCAGCAGTCTAGTGGTGACATTCACAATGTCCTCTATCCAAAGGAGAAACATTTGATATTTTTCATAAGAATTGAAGTTACTTTTACTATCAAAAATAAGTTTTACATTTAACAACAGATTTTCTAGTTTTTGGACCTTATTTCATCTTCTTAAAATAGTAATGGAAATGTCAGTTTATTATTTTCACTGATAAGAAAGTAGAAAATGTATAGCTGGTTCAGAGGCCATATGGTGGATGTCACTATCCTTACTTTTGAGGAGAGTAACAGTTTACTCCAAGTGGTTTCTCATTTCAATGCAAAGAGCTTTGGAAACAGTGATGTGCCATAATACACATTTAGTGACAATTTATTGATAAGTATTTTGTTCCCAGAGAAATAGTTTAGTATATTTTCCTCTATTTAACACTAATTATTGTTTTAAACATTATAAAGAGGAAATAAAAGTTATTGCAATGGCAAATAATCTCATGAGTTCTAAGAAAAGCTCTATAAGTTTTAACATATTTACTGTTCATATTTTGAAATGAAAGACTTCTTTTATATTTATATATTTATACCATAGAAATAACTATGATTTTGTGGAGGATCACTATAAGTAGCATCAGAAGACCTGGGGAAAATGCTGCATCTTGCATATTTTTAAACCTTTCCTTTTAAGTATTGTTATTTTAGTTGAGTTTAGTGTTGTATGTAGAAGTGCAGTGTTTAGGTGCAGATGTGTACAATGCTTAGATTTAACAGGGATGAAAAAATGTAATTCTTATGCCTGACTATACAAACATTAGAAAATTAGAATATTGATAAAACATTCTTCAGAGAAAGGAACTTAAAGAACTTTGAGAAATTGCTTCTATCCACTTATCAGAGTGTAAACACAATTTAAAATATATAGTCAAATGTGTTAATCTTATATTTTATGCCTCTGGGATTTTTACAACTCAGAGAAAGGCTTTTACGATTTTGAGATTCTTAAAAATTCTCTAGTGATTTATTTTCTATGATCTTGAAATAAATATTTAAACTTTTGGGAATTCACATTCTGTTAGGTTTGAAGTTTTGTCCAATGTTTTTTCCAGTTAAATATCCTCTATGGGAATTCTTTCATTATACAAATATACAGGTTACTCTTTAATTTCAGAACAAATTATGTCATTCTATTGAGTGCTAACTAAAAGTTCCCTTTGTTTGCTTAGATTTCTCTTAGCCAAAAGAAAGACGAAGATCTCTTGCATGAAAATCGCATATTGCAAGAAGAACTTGCCATGCTAAGACTGGAACTGGACACAACAAAACATCAGAACCAGCTAAAGGAAAAGAAATATTTTGAAGACATTGAAAGGGAGAAAGAAAAGAATGATAGTCTTCTAAATGCTATAAAATTGACTGAGGAAGCATTAGCGAAAGTAGCATTTCAGTACAACGAACAGCTTATCATTTTGACAACTGAGAATAAAATGCTCAGTTCTGAGATGAAGAATGAAAAACATCAGAAGAAAAGGCTGGAAACGGAAATTCAGTCATCTCATGGTAGACTAGCTACTGCCCTACATGATGGTGACCAAAGTCAGGTAGCAGAAAGAGACCTCTTTCCAGAGAACAAGACATGAACGGGTTTATTTACAGGAGACAATCAATTCTCATGTGTCTAACCTAAAAGATAACAGTGAGATTCTTTCTGAACAACTCTCTAATGCTGACAGTAAAATTAACAGCCTAAAAATTAAGCTCCATCATACAAGGTAAACTCTGAGAGAAAAGATCGGGCAGGCCTCCGTCTTTTTTGTTTGGGTGACTCATCCATTCCAGCCCGCAGACTTTGGAAAGCACAAACTGACTAGGGACAGAAGAGATCCCACAGCACAGCACAGCTGCTTTAACAAATCATGACCAGACTGCTTCTGAAGGCAGGCCCCTGATCCTGTTCCTCCTCACTGGACGGGACTTCCCAAATGGGACCTGCAGCTACCTCCACCAGTGTTCCTCTGTCAGCAGAGATTTGAGCCCCCTCCTGGGTCAGAGCTCACAGAGGGGAGAGGGAGCCCATCACCTTTGAGTTTGGGCAACCAGCTGTTCTGGCCTGCAGGCTTTGGAGAGCCCAAGCTGACCAGGGGTGGAAGTGGTACCCCAGCACAGCAAAGCCACCCTACAAAAACATGGCCAGAGTCTTTTTAAAGTCATTCCCTGACCACATTTCTCATAACTGGGTGGAACCTTTCAATCAGTGTCTCCAGCCACCTTCACTGCTGTTCTCTGGCTGAAAGAGGTTTCAGGCTTCCCTGGGTCAGAACTCCCAGGGGGAGGACCAGATTGTCATATTTGCTGTTTGCGAGACTCAGCCATTTCAGCCTTAGGGCTTCAGAGTGCCTGAGGCAACCAGGGGCTGAAGTGAACCCTAGAACAGCATAGCTGCTCTGCAAAAATGTGGCCAGAGTTCTTTTTTAAGCAAGACCCTGTTCTTGTTCCTTTTGTCTAAGCATGACTTCTCAACTTGCCTCCAGCCACCTCCTATAGGTGTGTCTAGATTGGCAACAAGTTTGTACCTCGGTGGTACAGAGCTCCCAGAGGAAGGGGCAGGCTATCATCTTTGCCTTTTTGCAAAGGCAAAAGTGATATCCTTAGGTATTGGAAACTCCGAGGCAAGTAGGGACTGTAGTGGACCCCAGCATACCACAGCAGCCCTACGGAAAAGTGGCCAGACTGTTACTTGGGTGCTGGTTTCCATATCTCCTTGATGGGCAGGTTCTCCCAGCCTGGATCTCCAGCCAACATTCCACTGGAGCCATTAAGCCAGTAGCAACTCAGCAATTCCCTGGACAGAGCTTCCAGGAGCAACTGAAATCCTCTCTGCCACTGACTCTGAAGTGGAACTGTCCTTGCTATTCTCAGAATATCAAGGGAGCAAAGACTCTAAGTACCATATTGGTACCTCCAAGAAGCTGAAGTTGACAAGGAGCAAACCATTCCATCTCCCATGGGTACCATACACATCATCATCAGGGAACCCTGGCCTGAGCCCACAGCACAGACGCTTCATCCTGGGCTGATTGCACTAAGTAATCGCTAACGCACATCTCTCTGGGGTAGAGCCCACAGGAAACAAGGAAAGTGGTGGAGGAGTAGTCCAGCTGATGTGGAGCCCAGAGGGCAGGGACAGCTGTCTCTCTAAGCTTGCTCTTATGAATCACTTTACCCCAGCACTTTAGGAGTGCTGAGGTCAGAGTGGCCACATCTCATGTGCAAGATTGTCCAGCATAGATCAGGTCTGAGAGTTTCCTTCTTAAAAAAGGGGTCTTATTTTAAGAAGGAGTCTGGCCATGTCTTTGTAGAGCAGCTGTGCTGTGCTGGGGTTTCACTTTAGAGAGAGTTTTCCTCTCAGACCTGATCTATGCTGGGCAGTCTTGCACATGAGATGGGGCTGGTCTGACCTCAGCACTCCTTAGTCTGCTTGCCTCTCCCAGGGCCCCAGCCTGGCCACACCTGCTTACACCATAGCTTCTGTGCAAGTGGACCATGCCTGACCAGTGTAGAGCTGTAGCAAGGTGACCCCCACAGGCACATACCAGTTTGCACATTGCCTGTCCATACTGCAGCTCTTTATATGGAAACCTCCTACATTACTTTGTTGGTGTGTGTTTACACGGGACTTTCTTCATACAAGACTTTGCTATATTTGCCCTACCAGCACAGAGGAGTGCAACACACACCCCAACCCATGCCAACTGCTATTGAAGATGGAGCCATGGCAGGCACAGGACAAAAAATCTCCACCTCCTCCAGCACCTTGCCCTTAAGCTAATGCTGTACAGAGAAAAAGGGACCCTCTTACACCCTGAGCAACCACTGTTGCTTGGCGGACTCACAGAAGGCACTGAGGCCTGTGCTGGCCAGCACCCCACCCCAAACCAATAGAGCTCCAGTACAACAGCACACAATAGGGGCTCCCTGGCCCTCATCTTAGCTGTCTTGCCTTCACCACTGGGTGAACACCCGCGGGGTTACAGGCACTCTGCTGCAGCTGCAGCACTTTGGTCCCTCAGTACAGTGGACTCCAAACCTGGAGGAGCCAGAGAACAAAGTTGGGGCCAAATACAAGTTCCTCAGAGTTAAAGCACATGGTCTAGGAATTGGGAGCTGAACGTCAGTCCTGTAAAATCTTCCAGAAACAAAGCTGAATACACCTTACACCACAATCAAACCGTCAGGGTCATGAAATACAATAAAATAAAAATACCCTGTCTAAAGGTCAGCATCCTCAAAGGTTGAAGGTTGATAAGCCCATAAAGATAAGAAAGAATCTGTGCAAGAACACTGAAGACTCAAAAATGCAGTGTACCTTATTTCCTCCAAATGATTGCACTCTCTAGCAAGTGTTCAGAACTGGGCTGAGGCTGAGATGTCTGAAATGATACAAGTAGAATTCAGAATATGGGTAGAAACAAAGTTCACTGAGTGAAAGAAGTACATTGTAATCCAATGCAAGGAAGCTAAACATTATTGTAAAACATTGCAGGAGGTAACAGACAAAAGAGCCAGTATAAAGAACATAGCTGACCTGATAGAGCTGAAAAGCACACTACAAGAATTTTCATAATGCAGTCACATGGTGATTGGGTGTGATTGTATTATGAAAATTCTTGTAGTGTGTGTGGGCTCCTGAGAGTGCCCTGTAAGCAGGTGGGCCAGGCTGGGGCCCTGGGAGAGGCAAGCAGACTAAGGAGTGCTGAGGTCAGACCAGCCCCATCTCATGTGCAAGACCACCTAGCAGAATAAACTAAGCAAGGAGAGAATCTCAAAAGTTGAAAACTGGCTTTCAGAAATAAAACATGCAGACAAGAATGGGGGAAAAAGAATGAAAAGAAATAAACGAAACCTCTGAGAAATATGGGATTATGTAAAGAGATCAAATCTATGACTGATTCATATACCAGAAAGAGATGAGAATGGAACCAACTTGGAAAACATATTTCAGAATATCATTAGAATATCCCCAAGCCAGCCAGACAAGCCAACATTCAAATTCAGGAAATCCAGAGAATCTCAGTCAGATATGCCATGAGAAGATCATCTCCAAGACACATAATCATTAGATTCTCCGAGGTCAAAAATGAAAGAAAAAATGTTAAAGTCAGCTAGGGAGAAAGGTGAGGTTACCTCCAAAGGGAAACCCATCAGACTAACAGTGGACAGCTCAGCTGGAACCCTGCAAGCCAGAAGAGATTGTGAGGCTCAATATTCAACTTCTTAAAATTTCAACCCAGAGTTTTATGTGTAGTCAAGCTAAGCTTCATAAATGAAGGAGAAATAAGATCCTTTTCAGAGAAGCAAATCCTGAGGGAATTCATTACCGCCAGACCTGCCTTACAAGAGCTCCTGAAAGAAGCACCGTGGAAAGAAAAAACCATCACCAGCCACTACAAAAACTCACTGAAGTACACAGACCAGTGATGCTAAAAACCAACCACATACACAAGTCTGCAAAATAACCAGCCAACAGCATGGATCAAATCCACATATATCATTACTAACCTTAAATGTAAATGGGCTAATGCTCCAATTGAAAGACACAGAAGGGCAAGCTGGATAAAGAACCATGACCCGTTCGTGTATCCTGTCTTTAAGAGACCCATCACACATGCAGTGCCACACATAGGCTCAATATAAAAGAATGGAGAAAAATCACTTAAGCAAATGGAAAACGGAAAAAAGCAGGTGTTGCAATCCTAGTTTCTGACAAAATAGATTTTATACCAATAAAGACTTTAAAAGGAAGAGAAAAACATTACAAAGGTGGCCCTGACCTTTGATAGATCTCAATATTGCTTAATATTAACCTGGGCTATCTTCATTGTTCAAACCAATAGGATAATTTGTGGAGGCTGGGGAGCTTCTCCCCTCTAGAGAGTCCCTGATCTCCCAAAATTTGGTTGAGATCTAAGGTTGATTTTCCTGTACAATTTCTTTTCTGAAGGGTTACTCACTTCCAACTCAAAAGGCAAGTTTTCTTGCTTCCATAATGATGGAGAGCGGGCACCTCCTTTCTTGAGTTTCAGCTCGCTTCTGACAAGGAAGGTGAGTGTGAGCTTTTTCCTACTTCTCAAAGATGGTAGAGAGTGATCATCAGCCTGAGCATTATTTCCAGGTAGGTAGCTGAATTAGAGTTTTATCTTAAAAATGTTCCTTAATGACTAAAAGTGAAGATTACCAACCAGCTGATTTAATTTCTCCTTACCATTAGAACACTCGGTAATCATGTGAATCGTGCAGTTGTTTCTTTTGCCTATCTGTTTTCTTTGTTTATGTTTGGGGTTTTGTTGTTTCACTTTTCTCCCATGAAGTATGACCATCTCTTCCTGACTTGGTCAAATCCAAAGGAATATTCCAAATTCTGGGGAACAAGGCATCTGAATTGGCTAAAACTCCTGTAGCTGTAAAAAGAAAAAAAAATCCAATTAGCAGAAAGGATTTTTTAAAAAAATTTTATTGCATTTTTATTTCTTTTTTTTTTCTTCCCAATTTATTTATTTTATTGCATTTTAGGTTTTGGGGTACATGTAAAGAACATGCAAGATTGTTGCATAGGTACACACCTGGCAGTGTGATTTGCTGCCTTCCTCCCCATCACCTACATCTGGCATCTATCCCCTTGCTGTCTCCCCCCAGCTCCCCACCCCCAACCATCCCTCCCCTATTTCCCCCCAACTGACCCCAGTGTGTAGTGCTCCCCTCCCTGTGTCCATGTGTTCTCATTGTTCAACACCC